CTTAATGCGCTTATAAGGCACGAGTGCAAGCCAAAAGCTTTCATATCTTCAAGAATATCACTTAAAACGTAAAATAATTGCCATTTTAACGCTTTCATAACCATAAACCTACATTTAAATACAAAAAGTATGTTGTATAAAAAAAAAAACAAAAACAAATTCCCATGTAAAATAAAAATATTACTTTCTTTTACAACAATTTCAAATATATTTTTTTATTTTAATCCGAATAATTTTTTTTATTCGAATACTAAAGAAATATTTTTCAAGAAAAATTACAATTTTTTCTCAAAAAATTAATTAATTTTTCTCAAAAAAACACTTTTATCTAATAAAATATTTCTTTCAAAATTGAAAAAAATAGATAAATTTTTTGCCCGACAAAATTTTTCCGGTAAAAAATATTTATTTAAAAATTGTATCTTACAAGATTTTTCAAATGTTTGGGAAATTAATTATTTCCTATGTAATTGCCAATCATACGTTTTTCTTAGAAATTATTTTTATCCGTCCTATCTAACATTTTTGCTGAGTGATTAATGAATTAATAGAAAATCTAGTATTTTAGTTTCGAATTAGCTTAAAAAGTTGTATGTATTTTACTGAAGATTATATCAAGTTTTATACTGTAGCAGTCATTTTTATGTTCTAAATGGAATTTGGTGAGTAACCTCCCTTCTGCATTTTGAACGAAAAAGAGTTAGGGCCTAGTGTGAACTGTCGGCTAAAACAGCTCAGCCATTTCATCATGGCTGATCCGGCGCTAGCGCAAAATATTATTTCCAGCCAGGCAACGCGCTTCGTCAAATAGTTTTTTTAAGCGTATACAAACCAGAGTTTCAGTCCATTTCGTCGTAAATGTTAATATTTTTAAAAAGGTGTGGTCCACTATAGGAGTGACAGGATGAGTGTATAATATGCCATTTAATAAAATCTTGTCAGCTTTTTAACTTTCCACAAGCTTGACCAGTCAATAAATCATATTTTCATGCACAAATCATTCTCCATGCCTGGCAATTACAGTCAATCATTACCGTTGCAGTAGACCATTCCGACGCATACAACGCACACAACTCGTTGCAAGTCTCGCACACTCAGCAATCGCACTTAATTCGGTGTTGCCATTAAGTACGCTTTAATAAAATAAATATTTCTAACAAGCAATTAAGCTAATGCAAACGAAATTGTCCGCAAAAAAATGAATATTATTATATTGTAACAAAATTGAGTAGCCAAAAATTTATAGCGACAGCATAGTATTGCGGCTACCACATATTTATTTATTTATTTATTTATTTATTTATTTAGTTTGCCACTTGATTTATGCTTAATGTTTTCATATTGTTGTAATTTACGGGAACGCATGTGCGCATGCGCAACGTGCCACAAATATGCATGTCGATACTTGTATGGAGCATGCAACTGGGCGTATTTTACATATCGATTTTGGCAATGGCTGACAGTGGCAGAGTGTTGTCAATATCCAATTACAACCAGCAGCAGCAGCAGCAGCAGTCACTTATGTGAACACACACATATCTACATTGACAAAGTAGATCCAACAGCGAAGGCGGGTGTGCTCGTAACACAAACTCACAACTGCGGGATAGCAGTGGGTTAAGGACATGCGCAACAACAAAACGGCAGCAGCAGTAATAGGAATGCAAACATCAAGAGTCGAGTCAAATGAGTTACGGAAAAAGCACTTTGTCTTACAATTTTGTTACACAAATATTTTTTACACTATAATCGCCTTAGAGGTAAAAAAAAAAACGCTTTACTTCGGCTATGACTTATTTGCATACTTGTTTTTCGAGGCGTTTTTGGGGGTGTTAATGGCATAAAGAATGGCTCATGCTTGCTCTATTATCTCGCTTTTATATTGCATTTTTGTCTAATCACCTCGTTACCCAGACATTTTGTCTCAATTTAGTTCATTTTTTGATTATTTATTTTTCTGTATTTCATTGTTTTTTTGTTTTTTAAACTGGTGCGGCGTTACTCATATGCACTTAGTAGCATTTTAAGTTTGAAATGAAATCAACTTAAATGCGAACATAAACACTGACAAGGCAAAAATATGAATTCGTGTATTCGAACTATGAGTAATTTATGTAGGAGTAATATTTAAGGAACATTTAAGTTTGAGGCAACAATATTTTTCTTAATTCCAAACAAACCAATATAAATAGATATTTACTGTGCTGTGATGAATTAGGCCAAACTTCAAATATCAAGAGAGTTTTAAAATCTCCCAAAATGCAGTGCAAATTTTTCTTTCACCAGTTTTGAAGTTCTGATGGCTATCGGAAAAATTAAATTCGACGTCCGCACTGATCAGCATGGCTTTGGTAAAGTGCACATTCAATGCAATACACTCACTCGAGTTGGCGGCCTTAACCGTAACCGGCCCTTTCTGAATTATCTAAGCAACCTTGGACTTGTAGAAAGCTTTCGCTATCGTTTTTTATTACACGCTATTAAGAAACGTGTTCTAGTTAACTGGGTCGATATCGAAAGACAAAAGTCTGTCATAGTCTGACAATTGTCAATTCTGGCAACTAACTTCAAAGCTCATTACTAAATGAAAGATCTGCTGGCGAGGAGGTTTTAGCGTATGCTGTTCGCTTTTTACAATATGTTTTTTTTTTTTTAATTAAACCTAATTAAAAAAATTTTAATATTTATATTTTTTTTTTTTAACAATAAACACTAAACAACAAAAAAATTAAATGAAAAAAAGATAACTAAATAAAATTACAATAAAGCAAAATTGAATACTTTTAAAAATTAAATGCAATTAAAGAAATGTTTTTCTTTTTAAAACAATAAAATGAGGAAGAATATGTAAATCAAAAAAGAAGAAATAGTACTTATAAATTAAATAAAATTAAAAAATATATATATTTTTATTTTTAAAACAACAACTAAAAATTAATTGAAAAAAGTGATCTTAAAAACCGAAATGAAATTAAAAATATTTCTTTCTCTTTAAAACAACAAAATCTAAGAATTAAAAGAAAAGGAAAATAAAAAAAAACAGTAAGACTAAAGGCAGAAAAAAAATAAAATAATTTTTTAAAAATTAAATAAAAGTTAAAAAAAAAATATTCTTCTATTTAAACAACAAAACGTAAAAATTAAAATTAAATGAAAATAAAAAAATGTATATGCAAAGAAGAAAACAATAAATAAATTATTGTTGTTTTTAAAACAATAACATCTAAAAATTAAATAGTGAAAAATATTAAATTAAAAAAGTAAGAAAAACATTATGTAAGTTTCTATATTATATATTTTTCTGTTTAGAGCAATACAATCTAAAAATTTAAATTAATTTAATTAAAAAGGAAAAAAAATTTAATTTGAAAAAATATAACAAACAAAATGCGCCGCCTCAGGACACGAACTCGTATCTCTTGAAAGGCACACCATTGCGACAAATATAATTAAATGATATAGAATTGCTATTTCTCAAAATAGCTTTTTACCACGAACGGTAAGCCTTATTTCCGAACTTGTTATCTTGCTATCTGTCTTTTACTTGTCTTAAAAAAGACCGTTTACTATCTCGGCCAGAATTACCCTGATAATGTGGTAGTTTTCCTTCGCAGTGGTAGTACGCACCTTCAGCCACTCTGCTACCAACTCAGATATGACGGTGAGCTTATTATAGCAAATGTTTCTGATTATTGGTAAAATTTGGGAAAATACGTGCGTTTAATTACTTTTTTATTCATAAACATATTAATACAATTAATCGTAATCTCAGTAAATTGTTGAGGTACTAGCCTCGTCGTACATTTTTCATACCTCAAATGGCGTTTAAATTTCAGTTTGCAGTTTTTGACTCTGCTCTTCGACAAATAAGTTTTGATTTTAAAACTCTCAAGTTATTGCAACACATCTATGTAATTTCATGATTTTCCTAAATAAATATTGAAAAATAGACTTTCAGCTGCCGCTTGTTATTGCATTTGCTCGTAAATAGACACAGACGCCAAACATATGTACGTATATAGGTATGTATTTCTACAAATGTTTGACAGAGAAATATATCGACCTCTAACTGTTATTTCATGAATTTGCAACAAATAAATATTTGTTGACATTTGGAAAATACCGCTAAAGGCGCACCCACCCACTTCACTTTGAGTGAAATCATAGCACACTTACAACTACAAATATTTTGCAGCAGCTAGAACCTTACCTACCGATACATGAAAAACCCAAAACTGTGGTACTTACTTGTAAATATGTCTAGAAACATTTCAGTGGTCATTTCAGTTATGATCGCGCAGCTGAGAGTTCATTTGGCATACTTACATACAAATCAAAAGACTTAAGGCACGAACTTGTTGTAGTAGGCTAATTGAACCAAAACCAGATTTCAACTGCTTACACAATATATTTAATAACCTAATTGAAGGATGAATCACTAATTAATCATCTAAATAAAGCATGCGGTTGTGTGTTTAGTGAATAAAAAGCACTCGTATGTATGTATATATGCTCATAAAGGTGTTGCACGCAGCTTGCACTTCTGATATTAATGGTCGCTAATAAGCACTTAAGCGTAGCACAAATGCATACAAAAAAAAATTTAAATATTTGCTTATCGGACGATTTATAACTCTTAAAGAAGTTGTGTAAATATAAAGAGTTAAAGGTTTTTGGGTTTTTGCTTTACACAAATAAATTATCTGCTTGTAGTCGTCATAAATAAGGCAAGCGGCTAATTTTCTGAATTGACCGAATGTTAAAAAAAAATATGTAGGGCCGATTGTTCAATGTCTGGTTAACACTACCTAGCTGTTAAACATCATTATCGATGAACCTAAAAAGCAAAGCAATAACCTTCAAAATCTACGAGTTTTTTGCATTTATTGTTTTTTCTCTTCTGTCCAACTAAATTAAAAATGAGAACCTAAAATTTTTCCAATAACTTGCAAGAATATTTATGTACTTATGTAAGTGTACGTATACAAAATGTATCTAAAATAAATATACATATGTGTATTACAATTTTATTTATGTAAACTAAAAAAGCTAGGTTTCCTTATTTTACTTTAGGAGCTTTATTTATATCCTCTACATCATCAAATAATGCCACATAGCGTTGCCAACGCTCATCAGCTGAGCCAATGGAAGAGAAACCGGAGCTGCGATTGCTCACTGGTGATGTTGGCGCCGATGGTGGCATAGCTGCTGGTTTCTTATTATGTGTTGCTGTAGTAATTTTCATTTTTGGCGGTAAGGGCAACGACAAGTGCTTCAAGAGCTTTGCATCAGGCGACAGCGTCTTTCGAAGTTGTGGCCGCGGCTCATATGAAGCACAGCGCAATAAAGGGTTGCGAAGCACTGAAAGACAAATATAAAAAAAGTCATTAGGGAATTACATTTGAACATTTCGAGCTCAAAATTTTAAGTGGAAGTTATTGTTTAGTTAAAATATTTTTCTACTTCTAATAACTTACGGCACTGGAAAAACACAACAGCAGGACAATGATGATGGTAGAACGGGGACAGCTGATTACAGGTGAGCGTCTTACATTTATCGACATACATATATTTTCATTATCAAACTAATTCATTTACAGTTATGTAGCAACTAAGTAGCTAAGCAGTTAAGCAAGAATTTTATTTTAAGCCATATTTCGCTGCACTACTTATGTAAGCTGGCCTACACATATGTACATATAAACGCATATCAAATATAAAGGACATACAAATACACAAAAGTTACAATAACAATTCGTATGTTCGTGTGTTTTATTAAATTAACATATATGCACATAATTTTCGCCTTGTGAAAGTGCTTTTTAAATGTTTACAGATGACTATGGAAGGTGCAAAACATATTTCGAAATTAAATTTTTCATTTCTCAGTTATCGGAGTGATTGGTGGACAACTGACGCGCTGTAAATGTGGTTTCTGTGTGTGGGGAAAAGCAGAAATAATTAATAAGGAAAAGTGGGTAAAAGGAATGTAGTTGTATTTAGAGGTATAGAATAATACTTCTACTTGAGTGTTAAATAATTTTTATTATATAAATAGTTTAAATAAATTATTCGTAATAGTAATTAAAGTTTTTTATAAGCCTAGTTTCCCTGTAGTATGAAATGCGACCTTATTTTATGTCACGCTTGATACTATTTCTGTAATTGTTTTCAATAAAAATATTGCTTGATTTTAAATTAAAAAAATAGAGCTCATAAAAAAATAATTGATTGGATAGTTTGTAGTTTGAGGGCCGAAAGCTGAAATGCACTAATCTTAGATTTAGTTATGTATTCATTTTTGTTAGCCGAAGCCCAGGAGATTATTGCTCAAGAGTAAAATTAGAATTTTAATCCTCTCACCCCCTAGGATTGTTCTACACATATTGGAGAAATATGCCACTATTTTTTATTTTGAAATCAAAAAATATTTAGAGTTAGTTTAGTTTTATATGGGGGACAAAATTCGTATAAATGGAATAGAATTCTTGAAAATCAATATTTTTGGATCGGTAAACTGTGGACCGCTTCAAGAGACTTCCAGTAAAAAATACCCAATTTTTTATTTAAGCATTTTTTAATACTAAAGATTTTTTTATTTATCCACTCATTGCATTTTATGGCAATTTCTGGGGGGAGGGGGGGTTTGGCGGACCTATAAATTATAGTTACTATGAAATAAATTATCAAATAAATAATTGGGTATTATTATTGAAGAGAAACAGAGTTTTTAAATTGAAAAGTATTGATTTTCAAGAATTCTATACCATTTCTACGAAAAGTATTTTTCCCACATATAAAATACACTGAAAATATTAAGGGCCTTTTTTGATTTCAAAATAAAAAATTAGCTACATTTTTTCGGTATGGAACAATCCTAGGAGGTTAGAGCATAAAAATTCCCACTTTACTTTTTCACATGCATTTTTTGACCACCCTATAGCTCAACCTTTCCAAAAACTCTTCTAAAATCTAAATCCAAGTAGAATTTAGGAAAAAAATAATTAGAAAAAAATTCCAGCAGCGCCACTATGCATGACGACAAAAAATGGGTTAACCAGGGCAGGAACTGCGGTCGAGTGAGACTCAGGAGGAGTGCGACCGCGTATGCAGCAGCTGAGTAAGAGATCTTGAAATCTTTCAGACCTTCGATTCTGTGGGCCTTTTCGGCTTATAAATGATCCCTTTTACCTACGAAACTCCATGGGGAAATCATAATAGATAAGTCAACGATTTTTTTAAGAGATCTGAGCCATCTATATTTTTTTAAAGGTGCTGGCTTAATCACTTACAAAATTCATTCGTTGATCCTGAAGTGTTTTGATTCGTTTGACAACTCTACTTTAAAAGATGGTGTCTACCCAGCACTTCCGTAAAAGAAAAGGACTGACTCCGTGGCATATAAGAATTTTTAAAAACAGTTTAAAATTTAATTGCGCTCAAAGGGCCGGGAGGGAGGATCTGCATTATCTTTATATAAGAGTATAGCCTACCAAAATACCAAGGAGCTACTATGCTTCCTAAATAATGCAGCACGAACATTATTTAGAAGCTATGCGTCCATTCCAACTGTTGGGGAAGTTAAGGACCATTTGTTGTCGATAGAAGGTATCCACTAGGATGTCAGCCAAGCTACATCTAACTTTACCTTGAATTACCAGAAGTGTGCAATTCCTAATCAGCTCTTTAAAGACAAGTCTCAAGAATCAAAAAGTTAGGTCTAATTTAAAAAACAAAAATTCTCCAAGCTTTAATGACCAAAACTTTATGCTTTGGCAAAAGCTCAAATGAGTTAAGGCTTTAACAACTTAACTTTCTCAAAAAATTCGTTTGAAAAGCGCAAATGAAATAACTCGTCTTATGACAAAATCTTCCGAACTTACCTGGTGTCCTGAAGCCTTCCTGAATCTTGTAAATCTCATTCAATTCGCGTGCGCTGCACAGCGGCGTATCCACCTGCGTCGTCTCGTTGAAACGCGCATAATCAATCTCGTACGCCTGACGTTCTTTATTGTACAAAACCACCGGATCAAAGCGATGACCCCACAATATCTCCGTATTTACATAACTCGAACGCGCCTGCGTCGATTGACCGGTAGACTCAACAGTACCCTCCAATATTACAACCAACTCAAATTTATCCTGTAATATGTCCGTAGCAGACATATTATAAAATGGAGAATTCTCATCGATCTTATGTTCAATAATCATGGGCCAGATGAAAAACAAATCCGAACCACACTCATCGGCGCCAATTTCCAGCTCAGTGAAATGTTGCGACATCACCTCACCCTCCTTGGTGGTGCGCGTGCGTATGAGCTGTGCACGAACAGCAGTGCCAATAATATGCGACTTGCGCATATCACCAACGCGGAACATCAGCGACAAGCCACCATCGCGCTGACAAATCACAGCATATTTGGAGAAGAGCAACGTTTGTGCGCGTTGCTTGGCGCGTGTCATCTTAGCAAATACGATGCCGGCCATAAAGGCGGAGGACATGACGCCGTAAATAGATTGGAAGCACATCATGAATATGGCCTCGGGACACTCCTCCGAGGTGGTGCGCACACCATAGCCAATGGTGTGTTGCGTCTCAATCGAGAAGAGAAAGCACGAAGTGAAACCGTGTATGGCAGAAACGCAAGGCGACCAACCGGACTCCTCTGTGGGTTGGAAACGGAAATAATCGAAATTGGTGTAGGCAAATTTGAGATTTTCAATTCGAATATTTAGTTGCTTACCTTGATGATCGGGCAAATGCATCTCCTCCAAATCGCCATGTGTGTACATAATGAGCCACCACAGTAAGGCAAAGAACAGCCAGGAGAGTATAAAAGATAGCGCGAAAACGAGCAGCGTCCAGCGCCATTGCGAGTCGACCAGCGTGGTGTAGAGATCCTGCATGAAGCGTAAACGACGGCGTGTCAAATTCTTTTGCAACACATTGCAGTCGCCATTCTTGAAAACGGCGCGGCGGCGCACTTTGCGCATGCTACCAGGCCGGAAATTGCGTGATCTGTTGGAAGACGAAAAAGTAAGTATGTAGTCAAGTGTGGTTGTTGCTTGAGTTGAAAGTAAATACTAAGTGCATAGCAAGATTGGCAACGATCTTAAAGTAAGACGCGCCTGAAAGTAGGCAATGTAATGTAAAGAAAAGAAGGTGCAAGGTACAGGGTGCACGCGATGGATTTTTTTTTTTCAAACATTATTTTTCGGTGATGCATTTCCGAACGCTTTTTTTGCAACTTGCGCAAAGGTTTCAATTTTTTTTTCTTTAGCTTTTACGAAACACCTACGTATGAAACATTTTTTTGGTGATGCATTTTCGAACGCTTTTTTTGCATTTTGCGCAACAGTTGCGGATTTTATTTTTTATTTCCTTAATTTTTTATAAACGGTATATTATAGCTAGTTCACACTTGAACTTCATTATACTAATGGGCTAGGAAACTAGGAAAAATTTTTTGAAATTTTGTAGAATGTTTCTTTAATTCTGCAAAGTTTGATAAACTACATTTAATTGAAGAATAATGGAAATTCAATAAAATAAAATTAAGAAAAAAAAGCTTAAAAAAAAGTGAATGAGAAGTATGTGTAGATACGAATATACTTTCAACCCCATGAGGTTGCAATTGGAATAGTTCGAGCCACTAATTTTTGCATCATCGTTTAAGCGTTAATTGTATTAATTATATGCGCGTGGTCAATGCCGACGCCACAAGTGCACTCAATATTGGCATATTCACATTACTACAACAATTTATTTCAATGCTCACATATACATATGTAGGTATGTACTAATTTTTTCTAACCCACCGATTGCATGTCAAATAAACTGGGCCAAAGAAGAGTATATTTTCATAGTTCACACATAGATTTGCTACGTACAAACATATCTAGAAATGTGCACACATTTACATGAGCTACTAACGTCAGTCACTCAAAGCGTAATTCCGTGCAATGCAACACAGCAGAAATGAAATCATATGAACATTAATATGCAGTCGCATTAATTAATAACTACTTGCTAAATACTTTTTAGTGCGAATTTTTTTTTTATGAACCAGACAGCATTTTTACGAGTATTTAATATTTGAACTGCTTAATAGTAATTTATAGCCACAAATTACACTGAAAGAAGTGCCTAAGTACAGACATAGTAGTGATGAAAAAGTAGGCACAATTCTACTTCTTTCTGCACTTGAGAAACAATCGACGGACCTTTAGCACAAAACAAGATTTTTCGAAAATTTTCAATTCAAAAAAAAAATAATACAAAAGACATGCCTAATACCTCTAATCTTGTGTAACCCATGTATATTTCTTAGTACTTAGTGAATCCTTACTAACTTTACTAAGGACAAGGCGTGGATTAGACAAGGATTGGAGACACAAGACACTTAATAGTAGTAAGTGTTTTGCCTTTTTTGAATTTTGTTGTCGTTGTGCCGTTATTGCAGAGGACCATTTACATATATACATTGGTGACATATACATATACTTATTGAACGAATATTTCGCGCTTTCTGTAAAATATTTTATTATTCTGGGACATTCGGATATAATGACTAAATATTTTTTCATTATTACTACATATTTTCAATATCTACATACATACAGTACCGTACGAAAGTAATGGCACCGAGAATTTTTCGCAATATCTACAAAGTTTTTTATTCTAATTTATTTTCGATAATTTTTTATAAAAAATATAGTTCGTCCCACACCAAAAAACATGAAAACTAAATCTTTAAACTTTGCGCAAAACTCAGGAAATTTCAATAAATTTGCTTACTAATTTGCAACTTGCTATTCAGTTTTTTTTTTATTCTTAGTATGCAGTTTTATA